ATTCATTTTTCATCGAAAATCTTTGACGAAATTAACTTTCCGTCGAAACCCCCTCAAATGTAGTTTCTTTTTCAATTTATTTTATTCACCCGTTTTCGACGAAATTAATTTTTCGTCGAAATTTTTCGACAGAATTAACTTTTCGTCGAAAACCCCCACAAATATAATTTCTTTTTCAATTTATTTTATTCATTTGTTTTGACGAAATTCCATCGAAAACCTTCACAAAAATAATTTCATTTACATTTATTTTATTCACCCATTTTCGAAGGAATTCATTTTTCGTCGAAAATTTTTGACGGAATTAACTTTCTGTCGAAAACCCCCACAAATGTAATTTCTTTTTCAATTTATTTTATTCACCCGTTTTCGACGGTATCCATTTTTCGTCGAAAACCTTCACAAAATTAATTTCTTTTACATTTATTTTATTCACCCATTTTTGACGGAATTCTTTTTCCGTCGAAAATCTTCGACGAAATTAACTTTCCGTCGAAAACACCCACAAATGTAATTAATTTTTCAATTTATTTTATTCACCCATTTTTGACAGAATTCATTTCTCATCGAAAAATCTTCGACAGAATTAACTTTCCGTGAAAAACCCCCACAAATATAATTTCTTTTTCAATTTATTTTATTCACCCGTTTTTGACGAAATTCATTTTTCGTCAAAAATCTTCGACAGAATTAACTTTCCGTCGAAAACCCCCACAAATATAATTTCTTTTACATTTATTTTATTCACCCATTTTTGACGGAATTCATTTTTCGTCGAAAATCTTCGACGGAATCCATTTCTCGTCGAAAACTTTTACAAAATTAATGTTTTTTACATTTATTTTATTCACCCGTTTTTGACTGAATTCATTTTCCGTCGAAAATCTTCGACGGAATCCACTTTTCGTCGAAAGTTTTTGTCGAAATAACTTTTCCGTCAAAAAATTCAACGAAAAATGAATTCGGTCGAATAATTCCGTTAGTAATTTCCACAAAATTTTTTTCATCGTAAAATTTCGTCTATATTAAAGACTTTTCTAGTAGTGCAATTCTATGGTGATGAAGAGGAATACCCAAATATTTGCCAAGGTCCATTTTCTTGTTAAAGCCCATCTGCATACTAATTTCAGTAGCCAAAACATTGTTCACATTCCGAGAGAAAAAAATCTTTGTTTTATCATGGTTCACCTTTTGACCCGAAGAAAGACAAAAAAGCATCCAACACCGTAGTGATAGTTTAGGCTTGGTCATGGGAAGCTTCCGCACAAAGAAGCAGATCATTTGCGAAGAAAAGATGAGAAATAGGAGGAGCATTTCTACGAAGCAAAATCGATTTCCAATGCTTTTGCCTAGTTGCAAATAAGATGACCCGGTCGCTCCATGCAAAGAACAAATAAATATGGGGACAAAGGATCACCCTGTCGAAGCCCCCAAGTAGGGAAAAATTCCTGAGTTGTGGCTCCATTCCAAAGAACATTCATCGAGCAAGATAAGACATACCACATAACTAGATTAATAATGTTTGGAGGGAACCCCACATCTTGTAGCGTATCTCGAAGAAAGTCCCAACTAATTTTATCGTATGCTTTCTCTATGTCCACCTTTATCATCATCCAACCTTTAACGCCTCTCTTCGATCTCATGGAATGGATAATCTCCTATGAAATAATAACATTATCCGTACCTTGCCTACCTTTGGTGAAACTGCATTGGTTAGGCATAACAATTCTATCCATCTGCAATTTCAAACGGTTAGCAATAAGTTTGGTAATAATTTTATAAATAACATTACATAGGCTAGTGGGCCTGAAATTTTTAAGTGATTATGGCGAATCCATCTTTGGTATCAAACATATCAGGGTTTGATTGATTTCCTGAATTTTATGAGGGTTACTAAACATATCTTTTACCAGTTCACAGACAGAAATCCCTACAATATGCCATTGAGATTGGAAAAATAAACTATGAAGACCATCAACCCCTGGAGCTTTATGGGGACCCATGGAAAAAATCGTATCTCTAATCTTATCATTCGAGGGAAGTTTTCCAATGAATAATTTGTTTTTAAATTTGCATTAATTGTATTGTTTTGTCTCGCTTTAGGTGATAAAAGGGATATTTAAATTACAATTACTTGTATCTATGTTAGTTTGGTACTAGATTAATTAGATTAAATTGATCATATGTTCCTTATGTTTTTTATGAGTGAGAAATATAACACGTTTTACTTTTCATATTCACTTTTCCTTAATGCAAAATATAGAATGTTTCATTAGGGATAGTGTGCAATTATTTGTTGTCAATGTCCATATGGCAATCTGATTGGTGGGATTTTATCCACGGTTTGTGGACAAATTTTTGATATTCCCCTGGTATCTTCTAAAAAAGGTAAAAAGTTAGGATTTACATAAAAAAAAGATAAAAATGTGATTTAAATAAGGATAAAAATTTCCTTTTTAAGAAAATGGGAATACCCGTATTACCAAAGAAAAATTCTCTGTTTGCATAATAAGCTCGTATGGATTGGTCAATTTTTTTTTATAAAATATACGTGTCGAAATATTATATTGACTTACAATACACCCTAAATGAAAATAAGGAAATTAAAAGATCAAGACTTTGACAAAATATTTAATATATACTACTTGATTTCTTAGAATAAAAAATTGAAATCTTTCCTAAAATACAGTGATATCCCAAAAGCTTTTCACAATACAAAATTATAAGAGACACCTTTTCCATTCTATGTTTCTAATTTACCAATTTGGTTGCTTTTGAGTTTTGGCTATTTGAGTTGTATGACTAAATGCTAGCTAAACTCTACTGTTTTGGAAATAATATTTTTACTCTTAATTTATTACATCTATGCTCAAGTACTAGCCTAAGTACTAGCATGTAGAATAAGCGCATATTTGGATCTTTCTTTTTTTAAAGCTAGAAGCTACTTATAAGTATAAGCTAGGTCAAACAGCTTTTGAGAAAAGCTCTTATAATGAAATTTTCTTTTATAATGAAGAGAAAAGATAAAAATTTCTAAGAGGAGTTTTTTCAATCTCTTATATGCTTTTCTTGAATTGTGTGTTTTGTTTTTAAAAATAAAGAGCTATGAAGATAGAGAGAGAGATGATTTTCTTAAAATATGTGCTTTTAGGTAATTTTTAGGCTAAATTTTTTTATAATTACTAAACAGCTTTTAGCTTTTTTTTTTAAATTTTTTTAGCTTTGACTTATAAATAGAAAAGGAGAGGATCTAAACATGCTCTAAGTTAGTAGCTTCATTGACTTCAAAATTTCCAGGAGGTGATAGAGGTGCTAAACGAGCCAGAGGCCTTTCAGGGACCTTTGACTCGGCTCGTGAAGGCCTGAACTTACATGTCTAAAATTGATTGTTGGCACCAGGCTTGAACTTGTATAAAAGCTCGTTTAATAAAAAAGCATTAGGCTCCAATTAAATCAAAAGCTCGGCTCGAGAGCCTCTCAGGCTAGCCTAGTATATTATTTTATATTTTTATTTTATATTTTTTTATACTACTTGTAACAGCCTCTCTTTCTCCTCAATCCATTTCACCTCGTTTTATTGGTTAAATAGACTTTTTGAATGGTTTTGTTCTATATTATGCTGTTTGGATATATATTGAATTTATGATATTTATGGAATTACTAGTATTGTTGATTGTATATTCTGTTTGGATAAATTTTTGTTATTTTATTTTTTTTTAAACAAGCTAACAGACTAAATCAGACTTTTACTTTTTGTAAATAAGCCAGGCCACAGGCCTATAATAATATTTATAACAGATAACAGGCTTGGTCAGGCTGACACATTTAAACACAGGCTTAGCCTTTTAAGATCAAAAGTCGGCTCGGCCCGTTAACACCCCTAGGTGATACGATGAAAAGAATGAGATGATAAATAAGTAACCGTAATCACATAAGACTAAATGGGATAAACCAATTTGTAACTCTTTCCTAATAAAATTTGATTTTTATTAGCAAAAAGAGTTTAGAATATTCCCTATCACTTTGAAGCTCTTACACTCGGATTGTGGCTACATTTCAAGGATAATGAATTTACGGAATATTTTTGTTATGAATATCATTAACAAACATTATCCATTGTGTAGACCAATGTAAGTGTTGTTTGCAGAAATTATTCATGTTTCTTGATACCAAGAATTTAGGAAAAGGACTATAATTTGGGTCTGTTACAGAATGATTTTCTTAATCTTTGTAAGTATCATAATTCCTTTCCCGTTTATCATCATAGCTGCCCCTCACAACCCACAAGAATAAAATTTAAGTGACAACCACCTAAATTTTGATAGAAGTTTACGGTGAACAAGAATTTAGAAGTTGTATTTGCTAAGATTTATGAAGAAATAATTGGGATTTTGATATATGGGGAAAGAAAATAAATACTGAATAATGACTTATAATGATGTGATATAATATGATGAAAAAAATAGTTATCCTAATTTATAATATTTATGAAAATTTAAATTATAAAATTAAAAAATATAAGAAAATATAAATATTATATCTTAAAAAATCTGACGTGATATTTTGTTTTTTGGAAACCAATCTCACCTGATATTTTGTTTTTTGGAAACCAATCTCATCACCTGATATTCTGAATTAAGTTATAAGAGAGAGAATATATTTATAACCAATTTTTACTTACAATCATTATTTTTACAATTATTGGATTAAAATTAAATCAACAGTTGTAAAATAATAATAAGTGAGAGTTGTTGATTTAATTTTAATTCAATAATTATAAAAGTGATTATAAGAGGATATAAAAAAGAAAATTGTAAGGACAACCTCTTCCTAAATTAGGAATAAATACAATTTAAAATATATTTTTCCTTTTAAATTAATTCATTCCATCAAAATTATATCATTATATAATTACATTTTAATTTCCACAATGGTAACCCTTCATAATCATATCTTAATTTATAACACAGCCCAATTCTCACCGCATTTTGTTTATAAGTATGTATCCTTCCTCTAACGTGAGTAATCTAAACCCTAATTCTCGTTTGAAAAACAGAAACATGAAAAGAAGGAGCATGGAGAGTAACCTCCACTGGGATGTGATTCATGAAATTCTGTTGAGGTTACCTGTGAAGTCACTTGTTCGTTTCAAAAGTGTGTGCAAATCATGGCATTCTCTCATCTCTGATCCTCACTTTGCAAATTCTCATTACGAGCTATCTGCCGCACCCTCGCACAAGCTTCTCCACATAGCATCTGTTTCTGAAGCTCGATCCATCGATGCTTATGCATCGCTTAACGATGATTCTTCCGTTGCAAGGCTCATTCCCCCAATTCCAAAGCCAGATAAACATGTTTGGGTTCAGATTTTGGGTTCATGCAGAGGGCTTTTCCTTATAGAAAGATGTCCAAGGAAAAGCCCGCGGCGGAAACACCACTACTTATAGAAAGAGGTTTCCACAGAGAACTGTCGTACTTTGAGATATTGGAAGAGTCTCAATATGAGAAGATATACCTAACTGGTTTTGGGTATGACTCATCCACTGATGATTATTTGATAATAATTGTGCTACGGCGTGATGGTGATATATGAAACGGTTTGGTGCTTTTCTCTTTGAGAACCAATTCACGGAAAGAAATTCAGGGCTTTCATGTTCACGACGTGTATTCATGGCGATCATCATTCTTTAATGACGCTGTTCATTGGTTGGCTCGTGGTGAATATTGTGTAATTCTTGCCTTTGATTTGGTAGAGAATAATCTCTCTGAGATATCTCTGCCAGATGATCTCAAATATGGCTCTTTTTTAATTAGATTTGGGAACCATGGGAGAATGTCTCGCTGTTTTTATTGATAGCTTTAATAAAACTCAAGTGTGGGTTATGAAAGAATACAGAGTGCAGTCATCTTGGACTCTGATTGAGATTCCTATGCCACTTTCAGCTGTATGCATGACCAAAAGTGGTGAACTTATTGCATTAAGTGCTAATGTTTCAGAGTTGATGAAATTTAATGAGAAAGGAGAATTGCTGGAACGTTGTGAATATAGTGGTGCTTATGTGATTGGGTTCCACTTACCTATGTATACAGGGAGTCTTTTTTCACTCCCTAGGAACAACGATGGAAGCATGGAAACAACATCAACAGAAACCGACAAGGAGAAATAGGAATGTCTAAATTGTGGTAATTTCAATTATTTATTTACAAAATTCATAGCTTTATTTTGGAAACAGGGTTTGTTTGACTTGTTCTTATTATTGCGGCATCATGTTTTCTTCAACATAACTTTTGATCTATTGTGGCATCATATATATGTTTGTTGTTTAGTTAGTTATGCTCTCCAATTTATCAGTTGACCAGCTAGCTTAGCAGCATCATAGCATGCGGGAAAAAATATGTGGTCAGAGAGAAGAAACATGCATTGACAATTTTGAGTCCGAGATCAAACTAATTTCTTAAGTGAAGAAATTTACAAAGAAGAGGACAATGACAAGTAGACCTTTTATTTATTTGTTTGTTTATTGTTTTATTGTTTTAAGTTGAAGCATTGATAAGTAGACCCCAAATAATTGACAATGCATTTCATATACTTCTGACTCAAGTTTGCAAAGACATATTAGGACGAAGGTTGCTACGTAGTTAGACACAAGTACTTTTAAGACCGCCTAATTTCTTTGCTTTATAGAAACAGACATCACTTTTTACATTGTCACATTATATATAACTGTATGCCACTGCAAGTTAAGCTAAACAAGTTTTTCACTTCACGCCATTCGCAAGAGAATTTCAGAAAGCTAATTTGAATTACACTGTTCTCAACAAGTTTTGTTTCTATAGATTTTTGGAGGAGAAGCTGGAACAACTTAAGAAGGAGCAGTAGATCTTTGTAGCCAAAGCAACTAGAAAGTCTTTGCAGTCCCCAGATGGAATTCCTTCTTTTGAGACTGAAACTTTTCCCTCATTTCCTCACGAATAAAATCAAAGAATGATTGAACTCCCTTCGAAGGAATAAATTACAGCCACATTGTGGCTAAATTCAAAAAATTGAAAACCATTAAAAGGAATAAAATTAGGTGTCTTCTTTTACTTTTGTCCTATCTTGCAAAAGTACGTGGTGGAATTGTCAGAACAAATTCACCTGACTTGAAATATATCCTGTTACAGTCCATAAGCAAATCACGTCATGAAAACTGTTCCGGATGGCCCAACAAGAGTCAGGCCCAATGGTCGAGGCCCAGCCCACACCAAGCATCCACGTCAGCCCTACTTGCTGGGGCGACACACACCCCCCAACGTGGTAATTTCCCAAGGTTAAACACCAAAATATCCTACCTTGGGACCTCAACTCCCGAAAGCAGTCGCCCAAATGCCATAAGAGGAAGCTATCCCCCTGCGACCCACGCTGACACCACCAGACGCAGAAGGCACAGCGCTGCTACGATGGCAGCGCCTGTCACGCCCAACACTGCCATCGGTATGAGACCCCAAGGAGAGTTGACCTTCTCCCCACCAACCTTCACCCAGTAAGCAGAATCTTCTCTTATAAATAGCCCCCCAGGGACACACCAGAAGGTATCTTATGTATCGTTATTATGCCCATTTCTATTAAGTCACATATTTAACCATCATTCCTCCATTGTTATTAACTTGTTATACTTGGAATCATACCGTCTAGCCTGGTCTTTACCTAAGCTAGTGGTATCATCCATATAGTGACAACCCCCCCAAAGGGAACATAGTGGGCTTATAGATTCTAACGGTACATTGGCGTCGTATGTGGGAATTCTATAAACTTCTATTCCCATTCTCCTACCAAAGATCTACAAGATGCTTTCCACGTTCTGGAAACCGACATGGTTGTTACAACATGGCGAGCAGAACAGGCTAGGGCTGTAACCCCAGAGGGACATGTACAAACAGTGCAATCTAACTCCCCTCCATCCAAGCATTCGGCCCCAGCCGAGCGGGCAGCTGTCGAAGCTCCCCCCCAGTACTACAATCTGTAGGTCCTCAACTACCAGGTCCTAATGTTAGAGTAACACAGTTGAACCATCGAGTGCCAATACATGAAATGCAAGGAGAAAACCTAGTTCAAAACCAACCCCCTCCCCCCTGAGTCCATTTCGGAATGCCTTTCCCCACTGCAGTCCCACAAGTCATTCCACTCGCCCATCGTCACCAACCGGCCCAGAGCCAACCAGTAGCACCGTATCATGATCACCGGGTACCCATGATCGCCGCATACCCCCTAGACCTTACACACATAATATGGCAACTTCTTTCCCCCCACCTTTCCCAACCGGTTATCCGTTCTACGGTTACCCAGCACACCCCCATAATGCCGCCGTTCCACAACCACAGCGGTCGGTTGTGATCCCTGGCCAACCCCAGTTTGGAGCCCATCAAGCCCCAGCTCTCTCCTACTCAGTTGAGGCCCCTCAAATACCTCGCCTACAACCAGACTTGCCGCCTCGTAACCCAAACCTACGCGTCACCCCCCCCAAACACCTCAGGGCGCAATAAACCCCTGACGGATAGTCTACGCCTCACACCCATACCCCTTGGTTTCAAGGGACCATCCAATATCACTACCTATGTGGGTGCCACTGACCCTTTTGAATGGGTCCAAAAGTTTTAAGCGGCGATGACCCTTCATGGCAAAACCGACCTACTTATGTGCAGAACTTTCCCGACGCTTTTGGGCGGGAGAGCACTGACCTGGTACACCACTTTGCCAACTGGCAGCGTAGCATCCTGGGATGACTTGGCAAGCAAGTTCCGGACCCACTTTGCCACCAGTCGCCCAGTGCCAAAGTCCGTCCATTCCCTAGAGAAGGTTCATCAACAATCTGGGGAATCCCTTAGGTCCTTTCTGGATCGGTTCGACAAAGAAGCCTTGCAAGTACAAGGCCTAGACCCTAAAGTGCAAGTGCACATACTCTTATTTGGTTTGCGTGAAGGAGAATTAGCCTACGAGCTTGCTCGCAATGAAATTGTTGACCTTGAAGAAGTCAAACTGAAAGCCCAAGAGTTTATGCGCATCGAGGAGTACAAAGGAAGTCGGGTAGATGACACCCACAACCAACAAAATAAAGATAGTAAAAATCGTGACCACAATGAAGAGCAGAGGAAAGGTCACAAACCCTCCAAATACTACAGTCTCCATTCTGGGCGTGACACAATAGGACGCCAGTCACATAGCGTCCTACAGACCGAGTACAAAGAAGACGACAAGCATAGCCCCAGGAGTCAACAGCAGCCTCGAGAAAGCACCGTATACTACAAGTTCCACCGCAGTAACGGTCACAGTACTGAGGAGTGCAGACATCTCAAGGATGAGATAGATGAGCTTATCAAATGTGGGGCCCAAAGAAAGGCGGGAGATAACGTCCGAACTCCAGGGAACAACAGACGATACCGAGAGCGTAGCAGGTCCCCGGAACGATGAAGGAACAACCAACCAGGTTATCAATCTCGCCGCGAACTCGATCGCAGAGAAAGCCCCCCACGGGATCGCATGGTGCATGGTAACCAAAGCAATAGAGAAAGGCGTGATGGGGAAGACGAGGACTCAGCTGTGGTCAAGCATGGTGTGATAAACATGATTTCTGGAGGACTTGGCGGAGGCGGGGTAACAGTCAACACCCGGAAAAGACACTTAAAATAGTGTTTAGCAGTAGCTGGAAAAGTCATCAGCAAAGCCAAAACTGATGCAGGCCCAGCCAAACCTAAGATCGTCTGGGATTTCAATGAGTTGGGCGACATCCAACCTGGGCATGACGACACCTTTATTTCTTCCAAGCAATAATCGCCAACTGGAGTGTCAACCGCGTATTTGTTGATCATGGCAGCTCTGCTGACATTTTGTTTTTGCCATATCTCAAGGCTTTAGGTTTCACTGTTAATGACTTAACCCCGGTTGCAGGTGAAATTTCAGGTTTCAATGCCACAACCACCAAACCCCTCGGAATGATAAACTTGCGTTTATCCCTAGGAACGCCGCCCACAACCAAGTCAGCCGACATCCAGTTTTTGGTGCTTGATACCCAGTCAGCTTATAACGTAATCCTTAGTAGAAGAATGTTCGCCGCGTTTAAAGCAAGCGTATCACACTCTCACCTGGCGATGAAATTTGTGGCGAGAGACAACAACGTGGCGACAGTAAAGGGCAATCAAACGGTAGCAAGGAGCTGCTATAATATATCCCTACGACCAGCACCAAAAGTCGCCTTTAATATATCAAGCGTATCACACTCTCATTCGAGAGATCAAATATACTACCTGGCTCTCCAATCCGGTTTTAGTTAAAAAGCCAAGCGGAGCATGGAGGATGTGTGTCGATTACACCAACCTCAACAAAGTGTGCCCCAAAGATGCCTACCCTTTCCCAAGCATTGACCAGCTCGTTGATAACTCATCCGGATTCAAAGTGCTCTCATTCATGGATGCATATTCAGGCAACAACCAAATTCCGTTACTTGAGGAAGATCAAAGCAAAACGGCGTTCATTACTCAGAACGCCAACTACTGCTATACTATGATGCCTTTTGGGTTGAAAGATGCTGGTGCCACATACCAGCGAATGATGAACGAAGTATTTAAAGACCTAATTGGCGACAGCATCGAAGTATACATCGATGATATGATCGCCAAGTCGAAAACTCCTGAACAACACTTATCACATCTTCAGGGCATCTTTGACAGGTTAAGGAAGTACAACATGCGACTCAACCCAAGTAAGTGCGCGTTTTGAGTACCGGCTGGGAAATTTCTAGGTTTTATGCTGACCGAAAAAGGCATCGAGGTCAATTCTGACAAGTGTAAGGCGGTCATAGACATGCGAAGCCCCCAAACGGCCAAAGAAGTTGAACAGTTGACTGGGAGGTTAGTCGCTATCACTCGGTTCTTAGCCAATTCGGCCTATAAGTCTCTTCCTTTGTTTAGCCTACTGAGGAAAGGTTGTACTTTTCAATGGACCGACGACTGTGAGAAAGCTTTCTAAGAGTTCAACAGAGCGTTATCCTGCCCTCCTGTCCTCACGAAGCCAGACGATGGAGAGACTTTGTATTTATATCTCGCCGTTAGAATGGAAGCCATCAACGCCGCGTTGGTCAGAGAGCCAAATGGGGAAGCTCAAAAACCAGTGTATTTCGTTAGCAAAGTAATGCAGGGTGCTGAGCTTAGGTATCAGCAGATTGAAAAGGTTACCCTCACGCTCATTTTCGCAGCACGAAGACTACGGTCATACTTCCAATGTCATCCAATCACCGTCAGAACTAATCAACCCATTCGCCAAGTGTTGCAAAATCCTGACCTGGCGGGGCGAATGATGTCATGGGCAATTGAATTATCGGAATACCAAATCAATTATGAGCCAAGGGCTACCATCAAAGCTCAAGCCCTCACAGACTTCATAGCAGAGATGACCCACGCTGGTGTAGTGGAAAATCAGAGTAGTGAAACCCAGGCAACATGGAAACTGTATGTTGACGGTTCGACCAACGCCAAAGGGTCAGGTGTCGGTGTGATAGTCGAAAATCCAGATGGCGTGGCGATGGAGCATTCTTTGACTTTTGATTTTAACACAACCAACAACCAGGCTGAATATGAGGCTATGATAGCCGGTCTCTTCAAGCCAGAGAATTGGGTGCCCAACACCTCAAGGTTTTTAGCGATTCACGGCTAGTTACCTTTCAAATTTCAGGCGAGTATTAAGCCAAAGGCCCGCTGATGAGCAAATACTTAGAAAGAGTCAAAGAAATAATGTCGACCTTTAAGAAAGTCAAGGTTGAACACATTAGGTGGGCAGAAAATACGCGTGCTGACATCCTCGCCAAACTGGCTAGTACGAAGAGCCCAGGTAATAATCGTTCCGTCATCCAGCATAATCTGCCTAACCCTTGCGTCGTCATGAGTATTACAGTTGCGGCAGGCGCAATCGCCGAGGATTCATGGCTTACTCCTATCGCAAACTACCTGGCAGAAGGAACGCTGCCGCCAGACGAAAAAGAAGCCAAAAGGACTGTGCGAAGGAGTGCCCACTTCTGCATGATGCACGGCCAGTTATACAAAAGAGGTTTTTCAACCCCACTTCTGAAGTGTTTGAGCCCGGACAACGTGGAATACGTGCTTGAGGAAATCCACGAAGGAATCAACGGCCACCACATCGGTGGACACTCTCTGGCAAGGAAAGCACTTAGAGCAGGATTCTATTGGCCAACCATGGAGCGAGATGCTTATAACCATGTTAAAAAGTGTGAAAAGTGCCAACGGTTTTCCGACATACACAAAGCCCCGCCAGAGGAGTTAACGTCGATCCCATTGCCCTGGCCATTTTACAAATGGGGAATGGACATTCTTGGATCATTTCCAAAGGCCACAGGGCGTGTGCAATGGCTGATTGTCGCCATCGATTACTTCACCAAATGGGCAGAAGCTGAGCCAGTTGCTACCATCACCTCCCAGAAGGTCAGGAAATTTTTCTGGAGAAACATCGTTTACCGTTTTGGCATTCCAAGTGAGGTCATTACTGATAATGGCACCCAGTTCACTGATTCCAAGTTCCGAGAACTGATGGCCGACCTATAAATTCGGCACCATTTTGCAGCAGTAGAACATCCGCAGTCTAATGGGTTAGTTGAATCATCCATAAAGGAGCTTGGGTTGAAATCTACAGGGCGTCTTGTAGGGATATCACACAACCGCCCAATCGAGCAACGGAGAAACCCATTTCCGCTTGACTTACGGCACGGAGGCAATGACACCAGTGGAGATCGGTGAACCATCCTGGAGGAAGGAACAGGTAACAGAAGTAACCAACAGCCAGGGACTCAATAAAGCACTTGATCTACTCAAGGAAATTCGAGAACGGGCTACGCAGTCAGAACGCCAGTCGAAAAAGAGGTCGGCCAGTAGATACAACAAAAAAGTTATCCTCAGGAAGTTTCAAACTGCTGACCTCGTTCTTAGGCGAGCCGACATCGAAAACAAGAACGCACGCGATGGAAAGCTCGCCCCAAATTGGGAAGGACCGTATCAAATAGCAAATGTACTTGGCGGGGGATCTTACGCCCTGGAAACATTAGAAGGTAAAGCTATTCCAAGGGCTTGGAACGCCGACAAGCTCACCGGATACTACAGTTGAATCACATTGTAACCTTCACACTGTACTCTTTTCCTCTCCAAGTTTTTATATAATACCCCTATCTTGCAAAAGTACGTGGTGGAATTGTCAGAACAAATTCACCTGACTTGAAATATATCCTGTTACAGTCCATAAGCAAAACACGTCATGAAAACTGTTCCGGATGGCCCAACAAGAGTCAGGCCCAATGGTCGAGGCCCAGCACCCACCAAGCATCCACGTCAGCCCTACTTGCTGGGGCGACGAACACCCCCCAACATGGTAACTTCCCAAGGTTAAACACCAAAATATCCTACCTTGGGACCTCAACTCCCGAAAGCAGTCGCCCAAATGCCATAAGAGGAAGCTGTCCCCCTGTGACCCACACTGACACCACCAGACGCAGAAGGCACAGCGCTGCTACGATGGCAGCGCCTGTCACGCCCAACACTGCCATCGGTATGAGTCCCCAAGGAGAGTTGACCTTCTCCCCACCAACTTTCACCCAGTAAGCAGAATCTTCTCTTATAAATAGCCCCCCAGGGGCACACCAGAAGGTATCTTATGTATCGTTATTATGCCCATTTCTATTAAGTCACATATTTAACCATCATTCCTCCATTGTTATTAACTTGTTATACTTGGAATCATACCATCTAGCCTAGTTTTTACCTAAGCTAGTGGTATCATCCATATAGTGACAACCCCCCAAAAGGGAACATAGTGGGCTTATAGATTCCAACGGTACATTGGCGTCTTATGTGGGAATTCTATAAACTTCTATTCCCATTCTCCTACCAAAGATCTACAAGACGCTTTCCACGTTCTGGAAACCGACATGGTTGTTACAACACGACGAGCAGAACAGGCTAGGGCTGTAACCCCATAGGGACATGTACAAACAGTGCAATCTAACTCCCCTCCATCCAAGCATTCGGCCCCAGCCGAGCGGGCAGCTGTCGAAGCTCCCCCCAGTACTACAATCTGTAGGTCCTCAACTACCAGGTCCTGATGTTAGAGTAATACCGTTGAAACATCGCGTGCCAATACATGAAATGCATGGAGAAAACCTAGTTCAAAACCAACCCCCTCCCCCCGGAGTCCATTTCGGAATGCCTTTCCCCTCTACAGTCCCACAAGTCATTCCACTCGCCCATCGTCACCAACCGGCCCAGAGCCAACCAGTAGCACCGTATCATGATCACCGGGTACCCATGATCGCCGCATACCCCCTAGACCTTACACACATAATGTGGCCACTTCTTTCCCCCCACCTTTCCCAACCGGTTATCCGTTCCACGGTTACCCAGCACACCCCCATAATGCCGCCGTTCCACATCCACAGCAGTCGGTTGTGATCCCTGGCCAACCCCAGTTTGGAGCCCATCAAGCCCCAGCTCTCTCCTACTCAGTTGAGGCCCCTCAAATACCTCGCCCACAACCAGACTTGCCGCCTCGTAACCCAAACCTACGCGTCATCCCCCCAAACACCTCAGGGCACAATAAACCTCTGACTGATAGTCTACGCCTCACACCCATACCCCTTGGTTTCAAGGGACCGCCCAATATCACTACCTATGTGGGTGCCACTGACCCTTTTGAATGGGTCCAAAAGTTTTAAGCGGCGATGACCCTTCATGGCGAAACCGACCTACTTATGTGCAGAACTTTCCCGACGCTTTTGGGCGGGAGAGCACTGACCTGGTACACCACTTTGCCGACTGGCAGCGTAGCATCCTGGGATGACTTGGCAAGCAAGTTCCAGACCCACTTTGCCACCAGTCGCCCAGTGCCAAAGTCCGTCCATTCCCTAGAGAAGGTTCGTCAACAATCTGGGGAATGCCTTAGGTCCTTTCTGGATCGGTTCGACAAAGAAGCCTTGCAAGTACAAGGCCTAGACCCTAAAGTGCAAGTGCACATACTCTTATTTGGTTTGCGTGAAGGAGCATTCGCCTACGAGCTTGCTCGCCATGAAATTGTTGACCTTGAAGAAGTCAAACTGAAAGCCCAAGAGTTTATGTGCATCGAGGAGTACAAAGGAAGTCGGGTAGATGACACCCACAACCAACAAAACAGAGATAGTAAAAATCGTGACCACAAAGAAGAGCAGAGGAAAGGTCACAAACCCTCCAAATATGCCAGTAGCCATTATGGGCGTGACACAATAGGACGCCAGTCACATAGATGAGCTTATCAAATGTGGGGCCCAAAGAAAGGCGGGAGATGACGTCCGAACTCCAGGGAACAACAGGCGATACCGAGAGCGTAGCAGGTCCCCGGAACGAAGAAGGAACAACCAACCAAGTTAACAATCTCGCCGCGAACTCGATCTTAGAGAAAGCCCCCCACAGGATCGCAGGGTGCATGGTAACCAAAGCAATAGAGAAAGGCGTGACGGGGAAGATGAGGACTCAGCTGTGGTCAAGCATGGTGTGATAAACATGATTTCTGGAGGACTTGGCGGAGACGGGGTAACAGTCAACGCCCGGAAAAGTCACTTAAAATAGTGTTTAGTAGTAGCTGGAAAAGTCATCAGCAAAGCCAAAACTGATGCAGGCCCAGCCAAACCTAAGATCGTCTGGGATTTCTACGAGTTGGGCGACATCCTCCCTGGGCATGACGACACCTTTATTTCTTCCAAGCAATAATTGCCAACTGGAGAGTCAACCGCGTATTTGTTGATCATGGCAGCTCTGCTGACATTTTGTTTTTGCCATATCTCTAGGCTTTAGGTTTCACTGTTAATGACTTAACCCCGGTTGCAGGTGAACTTTCAGGTTTCAATGCCGTAACCACCAAACCCCTCGGAATGATAAACTTACGTTTATCCCTAGGAACGCCACCCACAACCAAGTCAGCCGACATCCAATTTTTGGTGCTTGATACCCAGTCAGCTTATAACATAATCCTTGGTAGAAGAATGTTCGCCGCGTTTGAAGCAAGCGTATCACACTCTCACCTGGCGATGAAATTTATGGCGAAAGACAACAAGGTGGCGACGGTAAAGGGCGATCAAACGGTAGCAAGGAGCTGCTATAATATATCCCTACGTCCAGCACCAAAAGTCGCCTTCAAAGCCCAACCTGTGCCTCATCTAGTGACAACCCAGGTAACAACGAGCAACCTCAATGATAAGGGTAAGGAACTTGACCAGTGTTTCCTTGTAGAATTCGACGCAAGGGATGACCCCCAGATGGAGCATTCCAGACCTACACCAGACGGAACACTGCAGCACGTAGTCGTGGGCGACGAGGATCAAACCACAACTATCGGGGCGTTCACCAACCCGGAGATGAGGAGTAAGTTGATCAAGCTCCTACGAGACAACAAAGATCTGTTTGCATGGAGGCCGTCTGACATGCCCGGCACCGACCCTGAAGAATGCTGCCACCGGTTATCAGTGGATCCCAGAGCAAGACCTGTCTCGCAAAAGAAAAGAAAGTTTGGCCCGGATCGCCAAAAGATCATTGATGAAGAGGTCAAGAGACTCTGGGATGCCAGTTTCATTCGAGATATCAAATATACTACCTGGCTCTGCAATCCGGTTTTAGTTAAAAAGCCAAGCGGAGCATGGAGGATGTGCGTCGATTACACCAACCTCAACAAAGTGTGCCCCAAAGATGCCTACCCTTTCCCAAGCATTGACCAGCTCGATGATAACTCATCCGGATTCAAAGTGCTCTCATTCATGGATGCATATTCAGGCTACAACCAGATTCCGTTATTTGAGGAAGATCAAAGCAAAATGGCGTTCATTACTCAGAACGCCAACTACTGCTATACTATGATGCCTTTTGGGTTGAAAAACGCTGGTGCCACATACCAGCGAATGATGAATGAAGTATTTAAAGACCTAATTGGCGACAGCATCGAAGTATACATCGATGATATGATCGCCAAGTCGCAAACTCCTGAACAACACTTATCACATCTTCAGGGCGTCTTTGACAGGTTAAGGAAGTACAACATGCGACTCAACCCAAGTAAGTGCGCGTTTGGAGTACCGGCTGGGAAATTTCTAGGTTTTATGCTGACCGAAAGAGGCATCGAGGTCAATCCTGACAAGTGTAAGGCGGTCATAGACATGCAAAGCCCCCAAACGGTCAAAGAAGTTCAACAGCTGACTGGGAGGTTAGTCGCTCTCACTCGGTTCTTAGCCAATTCGGCCTATAAGTCCCTTCCTTTGTTTAGCCTACTGAGGAAAGGTTGTACTTTTCAATGGACCGACGACTGTGAGAAAGCTTTCCAAGAGTTCAAAAGAGCGTTATCCTGCCCGCCTGTCCTCACGAAGCCAGACGATGGAGAGACTTTGTATTTATATCTCGCCGTCGGAATGGAAACCATCAACGCCGCGTTGGTCAGAGAGCCAAATGGGGAAGCTCAAAAACCAGTGTATTTCGTTAGCAAAGTACTGCAGGGTGCTGAGCTTAGGTATCAGCAGATTGAAAAGGTTACCCTCACGCTCATTTTCGCAGCACGAAGACTACGACCATACTTCCAATGTCATCCAATCACCGTCAGAACTAATCAACCCATTCGCCAAGTGTTGCAAAAGCCTGACCTGGCGGGGCGAATGATGTCATGGGCAATTGAACTATCGGAATACCAAATCAATTATGAGCCAAGGGCTGCCATCAAAGCTCAAGCCCTCACAGACTTCATAGCAGAGATGACCCACGCTGGTGCAGTGGAAAATCAGAGTAGTGAAACCCAGGCGACATGGAAACTGTATGTTGACGGTTCGACCAACGCCAAAGGGTCAGGTGCCGGTATGATAGTCGAAAATCCAGATGGCGTGGTGATGGAGCATTCTTTGACTTTTGATTTTAACACAACCAACAACCAGGCTGAATATGAGGCTATGATACTGGTCTGCTTCAAGCCAGAGAATTGGGTGCCCAACACCTCAAGGTTTTTAGCGATTCACGGCTAGTTACCTTTCAAATTTCAGGCGAGTATCAAGCCAAAGGCCCGCTGATGAGCAAATACTTAGAAAGAGTCAAAGAAATAATGTCGATCTTTAAGAAAGTCAAGGTTGAACACATTAGGCGGGCAGAAAATACGCGTGCTGACATCCTCGCCAAACTGGCCAGTACGAAGAGCCCAGGTAATAATCGTTCCGTCATCCAGCATAATCTGCCTAACCCATGCGTCGTCATGAGTATTACAGTTGCGGCAGGCGCGATCGCCGAGGATTCATGGCTAACTCCTATCGCAAACTACCTGGCAGAAGGAACGCTGCCGCCAGACGAAAAAGAAGCCAAAAAGACTGTGCGAAGGAGTGCCCACTTCTGCATGATGCACGGCCAGTTATACAAAAGAGGTTTTTCAACCCCACTTCTGAAGTGTTTGAGCCCAGACAACGTGGAATATGTGCTTGAGGAAATCCACGAAGGAATCAACGTCCACCACATCGGTGGACACTCCCTGGCAAGGAAAGCACTTAGAGCAGGATTCTATTGGCCAACCATGGAGCGAGATGCTCATAACCATGTTAAAAAGTGTGAAAAGTGCCAACGGTTTTCCGACATACACAAAGCCCCGCCAGAGGAGTTAACGTCGATCCCATCACCCTGGCCATTTCACAAATGGGGAATGGACATTCTAGGATCATTTTCAAAGGCCACAGGGCGTGTGCAATGGCTGATTGTCGCCATCGATTACTTCACCAAATGGGCAGAAGCTGAGCCAGTTGCTACCATCACCTCCCAGAAGGTCAGGAAATTTTTCTGGAGAAACATCGTTTACCGTTTTGGCATTCCACGTGAGGTCATTACTGATAATGGCACCCACTTCACTGATTGCAAGTTCTGAGAACTGATGTCCGACCTACAAATTCGGCACCATTTTGCAGCAGTAGAACATCCGCAGTCTAATGGGTTAGGTGAATCATCCAACAAGATGTTATCCAAAGGAATAAAAAAGAAGTTATTCTCCCATAAAGGAGCTTGGGTTGAAAATCTACAGGGCATCTTGTGGGGATATCGCACAACCGCCCAATCGAGCAACGGAGAAACCCATTTCCGCTTGACTTACGGCACGGAGGCAATGATACCAGTAGAGATCGGTGAACCATCCTGGAGGAAGGAACAGGTAACAGAAGTAACCAACAGCCAGGGACTCAATAAAGCACTTGATCTACTCAAGGAAATTCGAGAACGGGCTACGCAGTCAGAACGCCAGTCGAAAAAGAGGTCGGCCAGTAGATACAACAAAAAAGTTATCCTCAGGAAGTTTCAAACTGCTGACCTCGTTCTTAGGCGAGCCGACATCGAAAACAAGAACGCACGCGATGGAAAGCTCGCCCCAAATTGGGAAGGACCGTATCGAATAGCAAATGCACTTGGCGGGGGATCTTACGCCCTGGAAACATTAGAAGGTAAAGCTATTCCAAGGGCTTGGAACGCCGACAAGCTCACCGGATACTACAGTTGAATCACATTGTAACCTTCACACTGTACTCTTTTCCTCTCCAAGTTTTTATATAATACCCCTATCTTGCAAAAGTACGTGGTGGAATTGTCAGAACAAATTCACCTGACTTGAAATATATCCTGTTACAGTCCATAAGCAAATCACGTCATGAAAACTGTTCCGGATGGCCCAACAAGAGTCAGGCCCAATGGTCGAGGCCAGCACCCATCAAGCATCCACGTCAACCCTACTTGCTGGGGCGACGCACACCCCCCAACGTGGTAACTTCCCAAGGACAAACACCAAAATATCCCACCTTGGGACCTCAACTCCCGAAAGCAGTTGCCCAAATGCCATAAGAGGAAGCTGTCCCCCTGTGACCCACGCTGACACCACCAGTCGCAGAAGGCACAGCGCTGCCACGATGGCAGCGCCTGTCACGCCCAACACTTCCATCGGTATGAGACCCCAAGGAGAGTTGACCTTCTCCCCACCAACCTTCACCCAGTAAGCAGAATCTTCTCTTATAAATAGCCCCCCAGGGCACACCAGAAGGTATCTTATGTATCGTTATTATGCCCATTTCTATTAAGTCACATATTTAACCATCATTCCTCCATTGTTATTAACTTGTTATACTTGGAATCATACCATCTAGCCTGGTCTTTACCTAAGCTAGTGGTATCATCCATATAGTGACAACCCCCCCAAAGGGAACATAGTGGGCTTATAGATTCCAACGGTACATTGGCGTTGTGTGTGGGAATTCTATAAACTTCTATTCCCATTCTCCTACCATAGATCTACAAGACGCTTTCCACGTTCTGGAAACCGACATGGTTGTTACAACACGGCGAGCAGAACAGGTTAGGGCTGTAACCCCAGAGGGACATGTACAAAGAGTGCAATCTAACTCCCCTCCATCCAAGCATTCGACCCCAGCCGAGCGGGCATCTATCGAAGCTCCCCCCAGTACTACAATCTGTAGGTCCTCAACTACCAGGTCCTGATGTTAGAGTAACACAATTGAACCATCGCGTGCCAATACATGAAATGCAAGGAGAAAACCTAGTTCAAAACCAACCCCCTCCCCCCGGAGTCCATTTCGGAATGCCTTTCCCCACTGCAGTCCCACAAGTCATTCCACTCGCCCATCGTCACCAACCGGCCCAGAGCCAACCAGTAGCACCGTATCATGATCACCGGGTACCCATGATCGCCGCATACCCCCTAGACCTTACACACATAATGTGACCACTTCTTTCCCCCCACCTTTCCCAACCGGTTATCCGTTCCACGGTTACCCAGCACACCCCCATAATGCCGCCGTTCCACAACCACAGCGGTCGGTTGTGATCCCTGGCCAACCCCAGTTTGGCGCCCATCAAGCCCCAGCTCTCTCCTACTCAGTTGAGGCCCCTCAAATACCTCGCCCACAACCAGACTTGCCGCCTCGTAACCTAAACCTACGCGTCACCACGCCAAACACCTCAGGGCGCAATAAACCCCTGACGGATAGTCTACGCCTCACACCCATACCCCTTGGTTTCAAGGGACCATCCAATATCACTACCTATGTGGGTGCCACTGACCCTTTTGAATGGGTCCAAAAGTTTGAAGCGGCGATGACCCTTCATGGCGAAACCGACCTACTTATGTGCAGAACTTTACCGACGCTTTTGGGCGGGAGAGCACTGACCTGGTACACCACTTTGCCGACTGGCAGCGTAGCATCCTGGGATGACTTGGCAAGCAAGTTCCAGACCCACTTTTCCCCCAGTCGCCCAGTGCCAAAGTCCGTCCATTCCCTAGAGAAGGTTCGTCAACAATCTGGGGAATCCCTTAGGTCCTTTCTGGATCGGTTCGACAAAGAAGCCTTGCAAGTACAAGGCCTAGACCCTAAAGTGCAAGTGCATATACTCTTATTTGGTTTGCGTGAAGGAGCATTCGCCTACGAGCTTGCTCGCCATTAAATTGTTGACCTTGATGAAGTCAAACTGAAATCCCAAGAGCTTATGCGCATCGAGGAGTACAAAGGAAGTTGGGTAGATGACACCCACAACCAACAAAACAGAGATAGTAAAAATCGTGACCACAATGAAGAGCGGAGGAAAGGTCACAAACCCTCCAAATACGCCAGTCGCCATTCTGGGCGTGACACAATAGGACGCCAGTCACATAGCGTCATACACACAGAGTACAAAGAAGACGACAAGCATAGCCCCAGGAGTCAACAGTAGCCTCGAGAAAGCACCGTATACTACAAGTTCCACCGCAGTAACGGTCACAGTACTGAGGAGTGCAGACATCTCAAGGATGAGATAGATGAGCTTATCAAAGGTGGGGCCCAAAGAAAGGCGGGAGATAACGTCCGAACTCTAGGGAACAACAGGCGATACCGAGAGCATAGTAGGTCCCCAGAACGAAGAAGGAACAACCAACCAGGTTATCAATCTCGCCGCGAACTCGATCGTAGAGAAAGCCCCCCACGGGATCGCAGGGTGCATGGTAACCAAAGCAATAGAGAAAGGCGTGATGGGGAAGACGAGGACTCAGCTGTGGTCAAGCATGGTGTGATAAACATGATTTCTGGAGGACTTGGCAGAGGCGGGGTAACAGTCAATGCCCGGAAAAGACACTTAAAATAGTGTTTAGAAGTAGCTGGAAAAGTCATCAGCAAAGCCAAAACTGATGCAGGCCCAGCCAAACCTAAGATCGTCTGGGATTTCAACGAGTTGGGCGACATCCTCCCTGGGCATGACGACCCCTTATTCATCCAAGCAATAATCGCCAACTGGAGTGTCAACCGCGTATTTGTTGATCATGGCACCTCTGCTGACATTTTGTTTTTGCCATATCTCAAGGCTTTAGGTTTCACTGTTAATGACTTAACCCCGGTTGCAGGTGAACTTTCAGGTTTCAATGCCACAACCACCAAACCCCTCGGAATGATAAACTTGCGTTTATCCCTAGGAACGCCGCCCACAACCAAGTCAGCCGACATCCAGTTTTTGGTGCTTGATACCCAGTCAGCTTATAACATAATCCTTGGTAGAAGAATGTTCGCCGCATTTGAAGCAAGCGTATCACACTCTCACCTGGCGATGAAATTTGTGGCGAGAGACAACAAGGTGGCGACGGTAAAGGGCGATCAAAAGGTAGCAAGGAGCTGCTATAATATATCCCTACGACCAGCACCAAAAATCGCCTTCAAAGCCCAACGAGTGCCTCATCTAGTGACAGCCCAGGTAACAACGAGCAACCTCAATGATAAGGGTAAGGAACTTGACCAGTGTTTCCTTGTAGAATTCGACGCAAGGGACGAACCCCAGATGGAGCATTCCAGACCTACACCAGACGGAACACTGGAGCACGTAGTCTTGGGCGACGAGGATCAAACCACAACTATCGGGGCGTTCACCAACCCGGAGATGAGGAGTAAGTTGATCAAGCTCCTACGAGACAACAAAGACCTGTTTGCATGGAAGCTGTCTGACATGCCCGGCATCGACCCTGAAGTATGCTGCCACCGGTTATCAGTGGATCCCAGAGCAAGACCTGTCTCGCAAAAGAAAAGAAAGTTTGGCCCGGATCGCCAAAAGATCATTGATGAAGAGGTCAAGAGACTCTGGGATGCCAGTTTCATTCGAGATATCAAATATACTACCTGGCTCTGCAATCCGGTTTTAGTTAAAAAGCCAAGTGGAGCATGGAGGATGTGCGTCGATTACACCAACCTCAACAAAGTGTGCCCCAAAGATGCCTACCCTTTCCCAAGCATTGACCAGCTCGATGATAACTCATCCGGATTCAAAGTGCTCTCATTCATGGATGCATATTCAGGCTACAACCAGATTCCGTTACTTAAGGAAGATCAAAGCAAAACGACGTTCATTACTCAGAACGCCAACTACTGCTATACTATGATGCCTTTTGGGTTAAAAACGCTGGTGCCACATACCAGCGAATGATGAATGAAGTATTTAAAGACTTAATTGGCGACAGCATCGAAGTATACATCGATGATATGATCGCCAAGTCGCAAACTCCTGAACAACACTTATCACATCTTCAGGACGTCTTTGACAGGTTAAGGAAGTACAACATGCGACTCAACCCAAGTAAGTGCGCGTTTGGAGTACCGGCTGGGAAATTTCTAGGTTTTATGCTGACCGAAAGAGGCATCGAGGTCAATCCTGACAAGTGTAAGGCGGTCATAGACATGCAAAGCCCCCAAACGGTCAAAGAAGTTCAACAGCTGACTGGGAGGTTAGTCGCTCTCACTCGGTTCTTAGCCAATTCAGCCTATAAGTCCCTTTCTTTGTTTAGCCTACTGAGGAAAGGTTGTACTTTTCAATGGACCGACGACTGTGAGAAAGCTTTCCCAGAGTTCAAAAGAGCGTTATCCTGCTCGCCTGTCCTCACGAAGCCAGACGATGGAGAGACTTTGTATTTATATCTCGCCGTCGGAATGAAAGCCATCAACGCCGCGTTGGTCAGAGAGCCAAATGGGGAAGCTCAAAAACCAGTGTATTTCGTTAGCAAAGTACTGCAGGGTGCTGAGCTTAGGTATCAGCAGATTGAAAAGGTTACCCTCACGCTCATTTTCGCAGCACGAAGACTACGACCATAATGTCATCCAATCACCGTCAGAACTAATCAACCCATTCGCCAAGTGTTGCAAAAGCCTGACCTGGCGGGGCGAATGATGTCATGGGCAATTGAACTATCGGAATACCAAATCAATTATGAGCCAAGGGCTGCCATCAAAGCTCAAGCCCTCACAGACTTCATAGCAGATATGACCCACGCTGGTGCAGTGGAAAATCAGAGTAGTGAAACCCAGGTGACATGTAAACTGTATGTTGACGGTTCGACCAACGCCAAAGGGTCAGGTGCCGGTATGATAGTCGAAAATCCAGATGGCGTGGCGATGGAGCATTCTTTGACTTTTGATTTTAACACTACCAACAACCAGGCTGAATATGAGGCTATGATAGCCGATCTGCTTCAAGCCAGAGAATTGGGTGCCCAACACCTCAAGGTTTTTAGCGATTCACGGCTAGTTACCTTTCAAATTTCAGGCGAGTATCAAGCCAAAGGCCCGCTGATGAGCAAATACTTAGAAAGAGTCAAAGAAATAATGTCGACCTTTAAGAAAGGAACAGGTAACAGAAGTAACCAACAGCCAGGGACTCAATAAAGCACTTGATCTACTCAAGGAAATCCGAGAACGGGCTACGCCGTCAAAACGCCAGTCGAAAAAGAGGTCGGCCAGTAGATACAACAAAAAAGTTATCCTCAGGAAGTTTCAAACTGCTGACCTTGTTCTTAGGCGAGCCGACATCGAAAACAAGAACGCACGCGATGGAAAGCTCGCCCCAAATTGGGAAGGATCGTATCGAATAGCAAATGTACTTGGCGGGGGATCTTACGCCCTGGAAACATTAGAAGGGAAAGCTATTCCAAGGGCTTGGAACGCTGACAAGCTCACCGGATACTACAGTTGAATCACATTGTAACCTTCACACTGTACTCTTTTCCTCTCCAAGTTTTTGTCCCACTGGGTTTTACTTGGAAAGTTTTTTAATGAGGCAGGTAGCCAACAATTAATAAATCATTTTGGGTCAAACTACTCTTTCGTTCGAAGTTTTGTAAGTATAGTTATTGGAAGGTCCTCACCCCCAGCCAATGTACAAGTTATGGGATGGTTCTCACCCCCGCCCAAGAGTTGGACTGTGATGGTCCTCACCCCCAGCCAATGTACAAGTTGTGGGATGGTTCTCACCCCCGCCCAAGAGTTGGACTGGGATGGTCATCACCCCCAGCCAACGTACAAGTTGTGGGATGGTTCTCTCCCCCGTCCAAGAGTTGGACTGGGATGGTCCTCACCCCAAGTCAACGTACAAGTTGTGGGATGGTTCTCACCCCCGCCATAGTTGTACTGGGATGGTCCTCACCCCAGCCAACGCCCACCTAACTTGAGGAAATTAAAACTCTTAAGATGTGGAAGCTAGAGCAGGAAAAGAAAAGGAAATTCATTGATATTTTAGAAATAAAGGTACAAGCCCGTGGTCGACATGCCAACCACAGCAAAAAAGGTAAAATAAATCTAAGTCCTAAGCATTAGCCGTGACAGTCTCAGCTTCTTGAGCCTGATCAGTCACGTCCTCCTCAACTGCCGGAGCGACCACCGCTTGAGCTTGAACACCCACCACCTACTCAGAGACAGAACCACCCACACCCGCCATGACAGGCTCAGCTGGCATGACACGCCCATCATCATCCTGCCCGTGGTCACTATCAGTATCAGTCATTGGAAGCATGCCTCGCGCGCCTTCGTCGTCATCAGTCTCTGGTGCCGCCTCAATCACTCTGATGACATCACCCTCCAGGCGCTTGATAATCTTGCCATCCTCCACATCATAAGCAGGATCTAAACCAGTCAAGTCAGCATCAGGATACCTGACAGAAACCTGCTGAAGGGCGTTGTTGAAAGAGTGATACATCAGGTTGGCCAAAGCCTCCTCCAACTTTTCCACCTGCCCTGCGGCTTTCTTGAAGTCCTCATCTTTGGCGTGGAGGCTCCCCTGTGCAGCAAACAAGTTGGAGGACAGTTGATCCTTCTCTGTCCGGAGAACCTTCTTCTCCTTCCTAATTTCTTCCAAAGACTTACTCAAGTCATCCTTCTCGTTGGACAGCCGCTTAACCTCATCATCCGCCTTCTTCAGCCGCCCAGAGAAAGACTGGTTGGAAGCTTTCCTGTCAGCAACTTCTTTACCAAGGCGCCCAACCTCAGCGGTCAGACCGTCTATCTGTCGCCCTAAATCAGCAAGGCGATCCTCCTGTAGGGAACACCGTTCGTCAATAGCAAGGGCGATCTCCTCAATCTCTAAGATGCGGCCAATAACCACCTGGGTGCAATTCATAAATTGTTGACGATCAAGACGCTCAGGCACCGCCATCTTAGGAC